CGTGTTTGAGTTAACTATAATTAAAATGTTTTACAACACATATTGTATTAATTTATATCTATTAGTTTTCACATATATTGTAATTGATTACCAGAACTACTATTATTAGTAGTGTTATTCGGGTTTCTTATAGTGTTCACCCATTGATTTGCAGTATTTATGCCGAAATTAAACCATTGGCCCGCAGTTTCCACACCTAAACTAAACGCATTTGATGCCGTTGTTAAGGCTGTCCAATAGTTTAAGTAGTAATTAATTTTAAATTTATCAAATTTTATACTTTTATTTTATATTTACTTATACTAAATAAGTGTTCACTGCCTAATTTTCAAATTATATAATAAGAAATGAATAATAAGATACCTTCTTGAATCCAATTCAATGGAGATCTGGTCAACACTCCCAGACATCTGGTCGTACCATTCAATTTGGTGTTATTTTGACATTTTATGGCAGACAAAAGGATTAATATAATTATTTTTTTAAACATAATTTCAAATATTAATAAAAATATAAACTATTTTTTAGTAAAAATTGAAATAATAAATTCCTCTATAACAAACTGATCCGGTTTATAAATTTATCCACATGTACCAGTATATTTAAATCTGACGTGGATATTATTAATAAATTTCAATGATTATCGTCTACATTATAAATTGATAGATATTCTATAGTTCTTGATTACTTGAACACTTGCATATAACTGCAAAATATTATATATTAAAAACACATTTTTGACAATGAAAGTCAGATGATATTGTATAACCATTTTAAACATTTTGTTTTTCAAATAAGGATTAATTGTTTTATTGTTTATAATTTTTAATAATTAATTAGTTTTATATATTAAGCAGATGTCATGATTAATGACTTTTAAAATTTAAATTCAAAACACAATATTTTTATTAATAATTTATAATAATTTTGCATTAAAATATATTAGTTTATTATATTTAAAATATTATTTTAAAAAATTTTGATATATTTATTAAAGTATAATATAAATTTTATCATGATTTTAATAAAATAAAATTATATTTAATAATTGGTTTGGAAGGAGACTTCGGGAGTTTACACAGAGATTTCAGCGGATGCCGTGCCATTCACTGAACCTCCCAATGATCCCAATGAACCGACAGCCTTACCAATAGCACCCTTGGCACCACTCACACCATTACTCAATTGGCTTCCCAAACCTTTATTGCCATTAAATATATGTTTTAGTTCATTATAATTAATTCTAAAATTTTACTAAAATTGTAAATTTATTAAATGTACCGGTAGCAACACCTTGAACTTTTCCAGCAACCTGTTGGGCCTGTTGTGTGCCTTGGTTAGCTAAATCATCAATTTGTCCAGCAAGACCACTCCCGAAATCCTTTCCCATTGAGATGCCATCTGAATTTTAAACAATATAATCATTCAATTATTGTACTGTATTTGCATACATATTATAGAATAATTATTATACCTGAGAGTGTTTGTTGAGCCTGGTTCATACCATTTTGTGCTTGTCCTTGTAGACCACTCAGAGCACCTTTTCCTTTTGAAGCAAGTCCTGTGGTGTATGGAAACGAGTGTTTTATTAAATCTAATATACTTTTATTGCAATTAATAATGCTTACCGGACACAACACCAGGCAATTGACCGGCGATCTGTCTGCCCTGATTGGCAAAACCAGTTGCCAAACCTAATCCATTGTTGGCGCCATTTTGAACAGTTGTACCAATTCTACCTATACATACAAAAACAATTGCTATTATATTAATTATGTTATCGTATGTCTAATTATATACCGAACAGTCTTTTGCCCTGATCCTGAGCCTGTTGACCAAATTGGGACAATTGACCAGGCAGTCTCTGCAATTGGCCCATACCATTTCTTCCATGTGCTATTTTAATATCAAAATTACGAATTATATAAATTATTAATTATATAATATGTATGCTTGGAAATTCAATATATTGTAGCTTACATTGAAGTTGACCCAAACCTTGTTGACCCAAATTTTGCAGTCCACCTAAGATATTTCCACCCTGAGCTATTAATTATTGAAATAATAAGTATTATTTAATCAAACATTTTACAATTATAAGTATAATGTGACATACATTGAAGTTGATCAAAACCCTGTTGAGCGGCACCTCCCAGTCCGTTGAAAAGATTTTGTCCTTCAGCTATAAATTGTTTTTATTATTAATGTCATTTTAGATAATTCACTACTCAAAGCTTACACTCAAACTGACCCAGACCATTCATGAGCTGATTAGGCAACTGTGAAGCCTGACCCATGGCTCCGTTGAGTGCGCCTGTTATGCATTTAATGAATATTATATATAAATATGACAGTAAATATGTATTCTTAGATGGTTTACCTTGAAATCCCTGTGAGAGACCATCTAATTGTTGAGGGAATTGAGTCAAAAGACCCATTCCTTGCTGAGCGAATTGGGGCAAAATTCCTGGCAATGCAATCATTCAAACAGATTAGACACATTTAGAAATATGAACAGGTTACAGGTTGTGTGTGATTACCGGCCATATTTTGGAACCCATTGAGTCCCTGTCCAATGACACCAGTGAAGGCATCCTCAGCACCCTTTAGCCCACCGGCCAGTGCCTGACTTCCCTGTTGGGCAAAGTTTCCTGCCATTTGGATAGCATTGCCGGGGATCTGAAACATTGGTCGTAAGAATCCGGAGAACATGTTTGAGAGACCACCCAATCCTTGTCCAGCTCCGCCAATCTGTCCCAGACCTCCTGTGACGGCACCCAATCCTTGTCCAGCCTGTCCCAGACCTCCTGTGACGGCACCCAATCCGGGCAGTCCGACTTGTCCGTTGCCAGTTGTGCCCACACTGACAGATGCCTGACCATTACCAGGACGTACCTGTCCATTCACATTACCCCTCAAACCCGTATTAAAGGAGGCTCTCTGTGCGGACACGACTCCCAACACAACGGCAATCAATAATGTTTTAAACATTTTTTATCTGAATTGTGATAATAATGAGAATCTGAATAAATGTGAAATTGTGTGCTTTTATCATATATTTATACCCTTTAGTACACGTGTTCTTAGGGCTCATACCATGGATTTTTAATTCTAAAGGTAGATTAGGAAACAGTTTATTAAACGCTAAACGGACTCTTATTTGCGTCAATTGTATTGTGAAACACAATGTACTCAAAAATCTGTTTTGAGATTTATTAACTTAAGTAATTTATTATATAACTTGTTTAATCATTTTATATAAATTCTATTAATTTTTAAAAGTCACTTGATTTTACCATTTGATAAATGAAGTAATTATAAATTGCATTGTAAGGATATGTTACAGGGTAGCCTTTTATTAACGATGCCATTTTGATTGTCGTTTATTTGAACACCCTGTATTATTTTTAATTGATTCATTCACCAAATTATAGAGGAATAGTTAGGGTTTTGTTTGATATATAACATGCCCAGAATA